CACGTCTGGAGTTGAATACTATATCCCAGAATTTAATCGAGAAGATCGGACCACAACAGAAGATAAAGTACATGAGACTGAACAAGTGAAATAGCATTTTTTGACTTTTGACTAAAAGATTGGTGATTGGGATGAGAATTTAGCATAATGGCTATGCTGCTGGACTCCCATATAGTCAACCACGGTTCGAGTCCTGGACCTGGTGGCTTAAACACATGCTGGGTGTGTGTGTGTGTGCGTGCTTGCCCAAGATCCCGAGAGGAGAATGGAGCAGGAGGGATTGTGGATTACCCCCGGGGGGTAATTTCTTGCTTTCTGTCTCTCTGTCTCTCTATGTCTTTCTGGCGAGCACACATGCCCTATAGCTAGAACCTCTCCAAAAAGAAAAAGGAAAGAAAATAAAACATTGCTGATTTTATTCTAGGCTTTAATTTTCTGGTTTTAAGGATTTTTGTCCTGTCTTGAGCTGCCGATAGGGTCATATACCTAATATTTGAACAAAATCCCAAACTGTTTCCTGGCTTTCTTTCTTTCTTTTTTTTTTTCTGGAGAGGTTTTTGCTATAGGGTGTGTGCACTTGCAAGAAAGACAGAGAGAGACCAGCAGTTAGCGTAATGGCTATGTCGCTGGACTCCCATGTAGTCAACCGCAGTTCGCGTCCTGACCCAATGGCTTAAAACTCATGCCGGGAGCATGTGCGTGTGTGCCCAAGATCCTGAGAAGAGAAGGGAGAAGAAGGGATTGTGGCATGGCCATCCCACCTGGGGGGTGATTTCTCGCTTTCTGTCTCTCTGTCTCTGTCTGTCTGTCTGGCAAGCGCACGCGCCCTATAGCAAAAACCTCTCCAAAAAAAAAGAAAGAGAGAGAGACAGAAAGCGAGAAATCACCCCCCAGGGGGGATGGCCACGCCACAATCCCTTCTCCTCCATTCTCCTCTAGGGATCTTGGGCATGCATGCATATGCACCCGCAGTGAGTTTAAGCCGCTGGGTCTGGAACTTGAACCGTGGTCGACTACATGGGAGTCCAACAACATAGCCATTACGCTAACTGCTGGTCCCTCCTAGCTTTAAGTTTTAAGCGAAGTTTCTTAGCATTTCTTTAATTTGTTAAAGCTAAAACTGCTTTTCTTTAAATTAAAAAAATATATGAAAAATACCTTGTTAATGACCACTGTAAGCTTTCTAGCATCAGCTAGGTGCTACCTTATAGTATATTCATTCTACTCAGAGTTTCATGCCTAAAGTCAGACATGTATTCACTGATATGTACATCCCAGCTGAACTTGCTATTGAAAGTAGTTAGATTATTTAAGAAATTTTGTGAATCAATAAAATGTGGGGGAAAAAAATGGAAAACAACTGTAGACACCTGAGATAGTGTGGGAGGCAGTTGGGAAATGGCAGAGGGTCAGAAATAGGGATTAAAAATATATATACATATATATACATATATATATATGAAAGTAGAAATGGAAAATTGATGATAACATGTATGATTAAGCCACTATGCAGTGTATTTTGGATGGAAAATCACATTTTGTATGCTATAACAATGCTCAGGAAATGAATGTAAATTAATTCATTTAAAATGATTCAGAAGAAAATTACAGTGCATTTGTGACTAGATTCTAGCTATGTCCATAGTTTTAGCTTAAGGTATTTTGTGAATCAATAAAATGTGGAAAAAAATAAAATAAACAAAATATACAAAAAATCAGCAATTATTTTACACAGCACAGGAATCTCTTAACCATATTTCCAACTAGTTGCCTCATAGCATGCCCCCTGTGGCTAGGATTGGCTATCAATTATTGTTCCTGTCATCACACAGTCAATGTTTTCAGTTATCTTGAATAAGTGAGTCACTGTGCTGGAATCCACTAATTTGTCAAGAACTTTTTTCTGTGTGACAATTACTGCACAGTCTTTCCCTCTGACAGCTACTGATGTCAGGCCAACCAGGTTAATAGCCTTCAAAGCATATTCTACTTAGTAGACCTGGCTCTCAGGTGAAAAAATGGTGATGTGGCAGTTGAAACTGGCTGGAACCATGGGACATGTTGGTGCATCCACTACTTCCAAATACAATCTCTGAGTCCTGCCACATATTGCTTTCAAAACATCATAAAACTAAAATGTTGTAAGTGAAATATAAGTCAGGGAACACTTGCATTTCCATCATCCCTAAATTTCTTTGTACCCCTTTCCAATATATACTTCCTTTTTTAATAAAAGAGATATTTTGGGACCAGCAGTTAGCGTAATGGCTATATCACTGAACTCCCATGTAGTAGACTGTGGTTCGAGTCCCAGACCTGGTGGCTTAAACTCACACAGGGTGCGTGTGCGTGTATGCCCAGGATCCCGAGAGGAGAATGGAGGAGAAGGGATTGTGGCATGGCCATCCCCCCTGGGTGATGATCTCTTGCTTTCTGTCTCTGTCTTTCTGGTGAGCATCTGCACCCTATAGTAAAAACCTCTCCAAAAAAAAGAATTATTTTATTTAACTTTATTTATTCACTTATTTTTAACTTGACCAGAAAGAGGGAAGAGAGAGAGAAAGCCGCCAGGCCCACCACTGAAACTGCAGACAGCCATTAATAGTCCAGTGCCCTTAACCACCTCAGCTCCTGCTGGCCCCTAAATCCCTACTTCTATGCCCAATTACTGATCTACTTTCTAACTGTTATATAAATAATATATAACTGTTTTCTTTTTCCTTTTTTGAGATATTTTTACTATAGAGTGTGTCCACTCTCTGGAGAGACAGAGACAGAAAGGGAAATCGCCTCTGCTCCCCTGCCCAGGGGGATGGTCACACCGCAATCCTCTCTCCTCCATTCTCCTCTCGGAAAGGCACCTGGGTGAGTTTTAAGCCAGGGGTTTGGGACTCAAACCGCGGTCGACTACGTGGGAGTCCAGCAGTAACCATTACGCCATCTGCTGGCCCCATATATACTGTTTCCTAGACTGTTAAATAAATTATGTCCTACTGTATATTCTGTATGGACACGTATTCACGTTCCCTGGCTAACTACCTAGAAGTGAAACGGTTGGATGTAGAAACTGCTAAATTGCTTTCCAAAGTATTTATACCATTTTACATCTTCACTAGCAGTGTATAAGAGTTGCAATTGGGAACCAGCAGTTAGCGTAATGGCTATGTCGCTGGACTCCCACGTAGTTGACTGCGGTTTGCGTCCCGGACCCGGTGGCTTAGAACTCACACCGGACACGTGTACGTGCGTGCCCAAGACCCTGAGAGGAGAATGGAGGAGAAGGGATTGCGGCGTGACCATCCCCCCTGGGGGGTGATTTCTCGCTTTATGTCTCTGTCTGGCGAGCGCACGCGCCCTATAGCAAAAACCTCAAAAAAAAAAAAAAGAGTTGCAATTATTCCACTTTTGCCAACACTTGATGTCATTTTTAAAATTTTAGTCATTCCAGCACGTGTTTAGTGATATTTTAAAGTGATTCTTATTTGCATTTTACCCCACCTCATTACAGATGGCCTTCTTTGACCTCTCCCACCCTACAATATCATCTATGGACACTCCTCAGGCACACACATCCCCAGATGCTCTGTGCTCCCAGTGTCACGCCCTTGGTATCTCTCTGAGGCCGTCCTCTCTGAGAACACTCTCCTCCAGAGTCGCTAGGCTACCTCCAGTTTGATAGTTTCAGATCATGCTTCTTCCTGAGAGCATCACAGACCGGTCAGCCAGCCATAGGGTGCACAGGTTGGTCCAGGTGGCAGGCAGGGGACGAGTGTGCTAAGCGAACGCCCAGGAAACAGTACGGAGGAACCTGGGCAACACTGGAACTTAACCTGTAAATGTCAAGAGAAGGGGCGTGCGAACACGAGTAAAAGGGTCTGAGTCATGCTAGGACTGACAGGCAAGTCGCTAGCTAGGCCGGGCAGCCAAACAGCAGTAGAGACACACCACCGAGCCAATGCTGGAACTCACTCTAGTTCACCGCCCCTGCGGCGCAGCCCGTGACGTCATCCC